GTAATAACCTTTATAGAAAAAGAATATGGAAATGAATATATGTGTGTATATATATATGTATGTATATATATAGCTGGGACATTATGTTGTACACCAGAAATTGACAATAAAAAATAAATTAAATTAAAAAAGTAGATGACCTCCTAAATTGCTGACCTTCTGCTTTGCAGCTTCAGTATCTAAAATAGTGGATTAGGTCGTGATTAACTGACATAAGTAGGTTAAGCAGGGCACTCTTACACCTTAATCTAGGGTGTAAATATGATTAAGTGCTTAAATTTTAGTTTAGTTTTCTTTTTTAAGAGCACGTGAGCCCATTTCATGGGGTTAAGGGCAAAAAAAAAAGAGACACAGAAAGAAAAAAATCAGAAACTAGAACAAAGCATCCATCAGAGAGTGTTTACCAAAATCATTGCTCCACGCAGGTACAGAGTCAGGTCATTTACCTCTTACAAAAATAAAGATACTGCCTTCGCAGTGTCGTCGTCAACAATGATAATTTACAACGTTAAACTGAAGCCAAATTTTTTATCTTAAAAATTCTTTGATTTACAGAATTTTCGTAATTTTAACCCAACTCAGTTGGCCCATTGTTCCTGTTTCTTCTAGTCTGGAACACCCCTGTGCTTTACTCAAGGGTTGTTCATAGACATTTTTGGTTCTTTCCCAGGTGATGTTTTGAGCTTAGAAACTGATGATGACATATGTTTTAAAAAGTCCCATATTGCTTGTATCTGAATCAGCAGTAGATACCCGTACCTAATTTCATCCACAGTTTTGTTTGCTCATTCTCCAGGTTTTCAAATTTCCCAGTGATTCGTCAGCTTGTTAGAGCCATTTGTAAATACCAGCGCTGCCTCATTATGTTAAAGGTATCGTTTGAAACCACAAACCACTTTGCCAGCCGTCACCGAAGTCTTGGCTTTCATCTTAACAATTAACCTGAGATAAAGACCTGTGTTGACAAGCAGTTTGCCAATACACTTCCATGTGATGACGTCCTGATCACTGTCTAAAACCTCTCCTCCACGAACAATAGCCAATGCAGAAGCAGTCTGATTATTTCCCTAAGGAATCAATTTCTACTTTAATCTTCAGAGGAATTTTTATTCATTCCGCGAAGAAAATTCCACACCATGTAACGGCATGTTCTCATTAACCTGTGTTTTATTTTCTTTTGCATTGTTTATATTCTTAAATGAAATGAGAAACTAATGACACACTAAAGCTCTTTGATAATAAGCATTATTTTTAAAGTTGAAAAGCTGTGACTTTTATTTACATTGTTCATTAAAAATATTTCTTTGTAAGGGAGATAATATTGTAATCACCTCAAGTTTAAAGGCTTCCATTTATCCTTTGTTCCATCTTCATAGTGACTAACATAATATTATGCATAGTTGAGACTCAATCAATATTCATTGATTTAATAACTAAAAGGATTTTAAAAATTCAAGTTTAAGGTGGTAACAATGTCTAGAAATTTATGAAGCTCTGTAAGTATCTATTTAGCCCATTTGATTATTCTTGTCCATGTTCAAATGGGGAAAAAAATGTCATTTAAAAAAAATGAAACTTATTTTTTATTTATTAATGAAAATGCCGAAAGAACAAAAACATCCAGGACTCAGACCTGATTGTTTTCCTTTATGTATTGATTTGGTGTTTAAATTCAAAGGTAGAAGTCTTCATTTTTCTTATTTTCCTCTCTGAAGAAAGAGAATGTCATTTGTTTTTAAACTTCCATTGAAAGGATTTTATTGTCAAGGACTTCCTTTTTATCATCTAATGTGACTTTAAAAGATTGTGAAAATTAATTGGTAAGAAACAAATGTTTTCTAATGAACTAATTTCCTATAAGCTTAATAGATGAATCAGGTTTTTGGATAATTTTTACCTAATCTCAAAATCACATGGACATGGAAGACGCTTAAGACAAATGATTATTTTGCATTGCTGGCTGGGCCCAACTTTTATCTTGAACTTACTGGAAGTAATCTGTTGTAAGGATCTATTTGGCTCTAATTTGGATTAAAAAAAACATAATAAATTTCCCTCAAGTGGTTGCTTACATCTCATAGGATTTTCCAGTTTCCTCTGAGGCACTGGCCAGTTTAGATTGTAGCACTTTTACCCACATGGTGGGCTACGTCTTCCCTACTCACCCGAATCTGTATTCATGCTCCTGCTGTTTGTCTTAGCATGTTTCTAACCGAAGCTTCTCTCTGACTCGTAATCACTTAAATTAACTTGCATTTTCAATCGTTCTATCAATCTGAAGATCAGGGCCCATGTTGCTCTTCTTACATCTGCAAGGGACCAAAGATGGCATTCTGAGTTCATGGTATTAAATGTGTGAAGTTCTAAAGGGAGTAACAAACCAGAGGCCCCTCAAGGAGGCTTCTCCTGAGTGGCTGGACCAAAGGTACTTCTATTATTCAAACTTGAAAATGAAAATCAAGAAACTTGAAAATGGCCCAAGAGCCCTAGCTTTCTTGAGAAAGATTACTCCTAGGAACCAAGCAGCTCGGTTTTTGAGAAAAATTTTGAGAGTGGATGGGGTAGAGGTCATGCTTGATACTGGCTTAGAACATGAAGTCTTCAGTCTACTGGCCAGGATTCAAATGCTGGTAGGACCATTTACTAACTGTATCACTTTAAATAAGTGTTTAACTTCTCTGTGTCTCAGGTTATTCACATGTAGAGTGAAAAATAAGCCTTCCAATTAACTGTACCTACTTCGTATGGCTGTGGTAAGGATTAAACGAGATAATGCCTTTTAAGCCTACCACGCAGCAATCCCTCAATATGCGTTAGCCACTGTGTTTTATTCCAATATACTGCGTTCTAATACATTCTTATACCTCTGCCGGGACCTGTATGAAATTCAGGCAGGACTCCATGTTTGTTGAGAAATCACACCAGTGTTTTTAAGTTCCAACCACAGCACTCAATCCTGTGTTGGGTCTCCAAGCTTGGTTCTGGTCCAATTCCGTGACCCTCAGGTATACATACACAATATTTCTCTCTAAGTTACTCCGGAGAAAATGAAGTTTAAAACTTACCAGGTTATTGACATTCTGGAAACAGGACTAGGTTTTCTCCTAGAAAGTGTACTGTCTTAATATTCTTATCTGAAAAAGTTAAAGGAGCTACTTTCCTTCAAAGGAGAGAAAATTTTTGCCAAGTGAAGTGAAAAATACACTCTCTGCTTCTTCCCACAACATCCATAAATATGCTGAGGCTGCTATTTTGCCAGATGGTTTCTGAGACCCCGCTGAAATGAGAAAGCCCTCATTTTCTGTTTCCCTCAAATTCAACCTCAAACCACACTTCTTGTGAAGAAAAAAAAAAAGTCGCCATGTAAGCATGTTTACCTTTAAGTGACTAGGAAGTTGAAACTTGTCCATAAGTGATGACTCACTGTCCTAGGCTTATAAAAGTAAAGGTACGTGTCTGTGGAAAGGCAGCAGCCTCTAGGCACAGCCATTCAAGATGCACCCAGGTGTCCTGGCTGCCTTCGTCCTCCTGACTTGGACGCAGTGTTGGTCCCTGCCCCTGCCCAGTGATGGTGATGATGACGACCTGTCAGAGGAAGACTTCCAGCTCGCAGAGGTAGAGTGTGTTGTTTTGTCAGTTCCGGTGGTCTCATACATCTCATGAATGCCTTCTCTTAAAAGCAGGTCATTTCGGTCTCTTTTCTAGAACTATCTGAAATCATACTACTACCCCCTGAATCCTGCCGGAATCCTGAAGAAGACTGCAGTGGGCTCCGTGGTTGACAGGCTTAGAGAAATGCAGTCTTTCTTTGGCTTAGAGGTGACTGGCAAACTCGATGATAACACTTTAGACATCATGAAAAAACCAAGATGTGGGGTCCCCGATGTGGGTGAATACAATGTTTTTCCGCGAACTCTCAAGTGGTCCAAAATGAACTTGACCTACAGGTAAATCACAGACTATCTTTCTTTAATATTTGTTAGCTTTTTTTTTCTTTTAATAGCATCCAATGTCTAATTTTCAGCACCAGCTAGAGATGCCAGAACATGCAAGGTCCCATTGTTTTAGGGAGGCCTTAAATATTAAACTGGAAGTTAAGTATGTCCAGGAATAACGTTAATACGGCTGAGGAGACAATCTCGTAACATCTATTATTGTTACATTAACCCAGCATTGTTTTTCATGGCAAATCTCAATGTATTTCTTTTAGACATGAAATCAAAACAGAAGTAAAAGTAGTTTCAAGAAAACGTGCAAATGTAGTAGTCAGGCATATTTATTACAACTGCTGAAAATGGAGTCTATTCCCTCTGTGAACTCTGTTTTAGAGCTATTTCATTTGTCTAGGCTATGGCGATACACTCTGGCAGGCAATGTAAGTTTTATTCAACATCTAAATACTTTAAATTTGATAAGAAATGGTCAAATATTTGGAGATACTCAAACAACTGATTGAATCCTTTTTTTAGTCTTTGTGTGGTTTCCTAATGAATAAGTTCTTTGAAACAATGGAACTCCAGTAGAACTTGTAGAGAAACCGTTGCATTTTGAGTTGAAAAGCAGTGTTCCTAGAAAACATATTCTAAACTAGCTTTCACCTTCCAAAAATTTAATTAAAACCTTTTCTGTTGAATAGAATTGTGAACTACACCCCTGATCTGACCCAGTCCGAAGTTGAAAAGGCATTCAGAAAAGCCTTCAAAGTTTGGTCTGATGTGACACCTCTGAATTTCACCAGAATTCACAACGGCACCGCTGATATCATGATCTCTTTTGGAATTAAAGGTAATGATGCAGAATAATTTTTGAACATTGTTATATTCTGCTCCTTAATAGACTTCGTTCTCTTATTCCTTCTTTCAGTCATTCATTGCTTTTCACAGAATTCAAAAGAAATTCACCAAGCACCTGCGCTAGGCACTACTGGGTTTAACTAGATTCTGAATTCTTGTTTTTGTGTATAGAGCATGGCGACTTCTACCCATTTGATGGACCCTCTGGTCTGTTGGCTCATGCTTTTCCTCCGGGACCAAATTATGGAGGAGATGCCCATTTTGATGATGATGAATTCTGGACAAGTAGTTCCAAAGGTAATATTTCTTATAAAGATATCATTCGTCATTATTGGATTCGATTAGACCATGAACCCATTGATAAATTAAGCTTACGATAAGTTACATTTGGTATTTGATTATATTCCCACCAAAAGTTTAATAAGTATGATAATCTTCTACTGACTAGTCTCCACAAGTGACATTTCTACAAACCAATATGTAGCATTAAAAATGAGCAACATCTACTTAGTGTGGTGGCTTGAGGGATACTGGCTAACTTAGAAACAGGATCACAGTGCTTTCGTCAACCAAGGTGTTGTTACGGCATGTTGAAGAAGTACAGTTTACTACAAATGTATACCTAAAAACTATTAGGGCTAAATACATAGATCATAAATGAGGCGGATGTGAGTTGAAATAGTCTTTTGTTCCTTTGTAGGAATATCAATGCACAAGTCCAGTCAAATATCAGTTCTCTGTTGCATGAGTCACTTGTTTGAGACTTGTCTCTACCACTGATTTTATAAATACCATTCAAACAAAGCAGGATAGTGTCTTACTTCAAAAAACATGAGACAGACCAGATGAAATTGCATTTATAAGAGCGAAATGAAACTGACTGTTGAATGAATTCAATCAGTAGTTGAACCTTCAAGGCTGAAAAGAACTGGGAATGTTAATTTAGGCAGAAAAGCCAGATCGTCCCACCCAGGACTTAACTCTGGAGCGACACGAACGCCTAGTTGTGACAATTAGAAGTAGTTTCATAAACAGCTAATTTTTAGTTATTGACTTAAATACAAATAATTTTTCCAAAAAGTGAAACTGAGCCTTGAATGACCAATGTCTTAATGCCCATGCCTCCAAACTTTGGAGGGAAATGTGAGAATTTACATATTTAAGTTCTGACTATTTCACAGGTAAGAATGACTTTAGGAAGAAACAATAGCATGTAGTGTTGTTGAGTCAGAGTCACGGTAAGCCTCAGTCTTTGATTCCTGAATCAATTCTGGGTTTGCAATATGAAATTGAAATGAATGAAGACATCCACAAATCACAATTAATTTTTCAGGTGAAGGCCAAGAATCCATTGCTAGTTGTTCCAATGAAAAATTTTTTGTCATTCAGGTTATTGTGAACTTTGATCACTCTTATCATCTGCACTATTGACTAAGTTGGTTATATATTTTCTTTATACAGAGGCTATGATAGCAAAGGTTATTTAAGGTCAAATTGAAACCACTGGCTCCAGCTTTCATGTGCTCTTTTTTTAACCTCTTATTATTTTTTTCCCCAATTTAAAATACCAGTATTAGGAAGCTCAAAAATTGGTGGAAAGAATGCCTAGAGGAAATAATGTAAATACAGTGACACAGTAGTCTTCAAGAGTAGAGGAAAGTTGGCCAACTGTGTTGAGTTTCTCTTTCCTTAAACTCTAGAGTCTAGAAATATTCTGGAAAGGATCATTTGGTTGGAGTCTGTTCCCAGGCAGATTCCTGGAGACCTTATTTAGTGCATCCTCTCTACCAGGTCATCATACCTTTGGATGCTGCCTCCTGTTTAGAGGATGTTCTAAGCCGCATCCTAGATAGGAACCACCCTATGTGTTTTCCCATGACTTTTCACTTAAGGTTACACTGTCTCCTCCCCTCACCTGACCTGAGAAAATACAGCAAATGAGGATTCCTGGTGTCTTCCCAGGAGGTCCATATTGATTACTGATCAATCTGTTGACATTCTAATTTTGTAGACAACTATAATCAGAGAGAGCACTGAATTATTTATCATGATTAAATCAGTGTTTTGAATCTTCCTTTAAGCAACTGAATATTAATTTTAAAAGGTGAGTAAAATATCCAAGAAAGACATGGTGACCTGCCCAGTAAATGAGGAAAATAGCATTTATCCTGTTAATTGGTCATTGGAGGATATTTTTTCTCAGTTTCTTTTTTTTGATATATTCTTTTTTTTAAAACACCTTTGTTGTGGTATGATTCCTGTACAGTAAACTACACATATTTAAGGTGTATAATTTGATGAATTTTGATAGATGTATACATCAATGAAACCACATCACAATCAAGACAGCTAACATATCCATCACTCCCCGTTTATCCCTTCCCACCCTCTTTACCCCTTGGTAACCACAAGCTTGCTCTCTATGTCTGTGAGTCTGTTTCTGTTTTGTAGATAAATTCATTGGTGTCCTTTTAAAAAATATTCTACACATAAGCAATAGCGTATGGTATTTTTCTTTGTTTTCTTACAGGCTACAACTTGTTTCTTGTTGCTGCCCATGAGTTCGGCCATTCCTTAGGTCTTGACCACTCCAAGGACCCAGGAGCACTCATGTTCCCCATCTACACCTACACGGGCAAAAGCCACTTTATGCTTCCTGACGATGACGTACAAGGGATCCAGTCTCTCTATGGTAACTATGAACGTATCAGCTAAAAGCAGAACAGATACATATATTTAATTTCTAAGTGATTAGTGAATTTGCCATCACCAATATTGCTGTCCTGGTTTTGTTATTAGAACCTGGGGAAACATGCCCATTTTCTTCTTTCCAGATCAGGCTACCTGTTCAAGTAGAAAATAGTCCGTTCTCCAAAATGTTTGCAGAACGTAACTCCTCATTTTTGTCTTTCATGCATTGCAAGGTGCATCTGATACCCTCACAATACCCCTGACATAGGAAAGGGAAATATTTTATTCTCCATTTAGCCAATGAAGAAACTAAGCCTGCAGAGTTTAAATAGTGTCTCAATAGTAACACGGCTGGGTGAAACCCGACTGGATAGTAACCCAGCCTTGGGGACAGCTTCCACACAGCTTCCAGAGAGTGAGAGCGAGACTTTTAACCCGCTTTGATAAATTCTGGGTGTTCTTTCAATGACTCCAGTTTGCCACAGTAGAAGCCATTCAAGTGCCCTGTGTAGTGTTCAACCATCATCTACAGGGACTTCTCTACAGTAAGAATGTCTTCTTTTTCTCCTTCCAAATTTTCAATAATATTTACAAAATAATTAAGCCTCAACCCAAACAAGCAAGATTACCTGCCATAAATAGAATGAAAGCCACAGTACACAGTCATCAGTGTAAACACTTCTAGACCACAGAGCTCTGAAAACTGGCTCATGCCACCCCAACCTGTTATTTCTCCTTCTGGATTTCAATCTCCTACAGCAGCGTGTGTAGGCCCAGACAAGAATCTCGCAGTTCTTCCTGGTCCTACGATATCGTAATCGAGGGATTTGATGATAGAGTAAGAAGAAGGAGGTAGAGAAAAAGGTTAGAATTATTTTATACACTGCCTCCCTTTTGCACTCTTGGGAGCTGGTGGAAAAGTTCCAAACATGAGGCAAGTCCTATCCGAGTGGTCCAAGGCGTGGCTTTCCACTGAGACACAGCTGTGCTGTGGTAAAGTGGTCAAGCAGCAGGAGGGCATGTGGACAGCTGTTAAAACAGGCAAGAGGAAGAGCCCGAGGAAGGGCTCCAGAAGTGGCTTTGAGTGGAAAGTGTTTCTTAAGAGAAGTCTGTCAGTGGGTTGTGCAAACATGGGAGAAGTTTCCTCAAAGTCTTTCCCGCCCCCAACCCCGTCCACTTCTATTGGCAACCTCAAGAAAGTAAACTTGTTGTTGAGATGAGTGTCAAGGGTCTTGAGGGTGAAAGCAGAAGGGGAAGCCCCGCAGGCAAGTCCCCGCAACCCTGGAGGGAGGAAGGATGACATGGTATTTGGAGCAGTACGTGTAGGAGCGGCAGGATTGAACTGCCTCCCTGGAGGGAGCCCATCCTGCTTTTCACTGGCAGGATCGGTCAGCAGCGGGGTCGTCCTCAGTGACTGCCTTCGTTCATTCCATGACTGCAGGTCCAGGAGACGACGACCCCAACCCTAAACACCCCAAAACGCCAGACAAGTGTGACCCTTCCTTATCCCTTGATGCCATCACCAGCCTCCGAGGAGAAACAATGATCTTCAAAGACAGGTACTCTTGATATGACTTTATCAACTCTGCATGTCGTAAACATCTGTGAAGCCGTGCCTGCCAATTGCCAAATCACCTGCTCAAACTTCCAGAGAAAGGTGAAAATTATAGGCCTTTGGGCAGTTTGCATATTTCAGGTGAAATAAGTGATGGATAAGCAGCTCACTTTTCAGCGGATAACCTTGGCATTGTACAGCTTCTCCTTACATCTTTGGTGGTCATTTTTCTTAGAAAGATAATTAAACGAAGCAACAAATCCAATTTATTTATTTAAAAAACACACATGTATTGAAATTAATTACCATATTAGTAAGCTGTTACTCATAATTCCACATGAATTTCTTTGGAAATGGAAAGACTTTGGTTCTGGTAACACATGTGGAAATTTGAGAGAGGAAACACTTTACAACCTAAACCTGTAAGGGGTGAAAGCTGAAATGCTAATTTTTAATTTTGATATTGTTCTAATATGCTTATCTGTTCATTTATTCATTAACCTATGAATTGCTCCTTCATCTGTGATCCAATGGCATTCCCACCTCGTCTATTCTAGCTCTAATTACAATGTGATCTGGGTTTTTTTTTTTTTCTCATGTGTCAGTTTCCCCAGGCCATGAGATCTTGGAAGCATAGTTCATGTCTTCTTTTCAGAGCCCAGCACAGTGCCTGGCATGTTTGTTTGCCACTTGCAAGTTATGCAAAATTGAACAAAGCGTAGTTCCAGCCCAGAAAGGACTTGCAGCCCTTCACAAAGGGCTCTGTGAGGTTTTAGACCTCAACACGTTGCACTAGAGTTAGAACAGCAACAGCTTGTATACCTGACACCTCAAGGGAGGTGGAAAGCTCTCCCTTCACAGCGGATGGGGAATGGCCGTGCCTGTCTAACGTACCTGTGTTGATGCGGAGATGGGTGGCTAGCAGGATAGAAATACTGCACTTGAAAAAAATGATGGCCAACTCTACATTTTTACTTTTGGGTTAGATTCTTCTGGCGCCTGCATCCTCAGCAGGTGGATGTGGAACTGTTTTTAACAAAATCGTTTTGGCCAGAACTTCCCAACCGTATTGATGCTGCCTATGAGCACCCGTCCCGCGACCTTATCTTCATCTTCAGAGGTAAGCTTTCCACCAGCGAGACCTCCCATGTGTCCAGAGAAAGCGATGATGAACTTGACACTCACAGAGACTGCATAAACTGGTCATTGTCAAAAATATATCTAAATTAAGAAGCAAGTATAAGAAAATGGAAGCCAGAAAGGACCTGAAAACTTTTTACCAAGTGTCCCCAAATTTGACACTAAGAAGTCTACATGATAAATCATATCCACTCTGTTTCATAGTAATCATGTCAGTTTCTTCTCTTATTTCTTCTTGAAAATCAATTACTAAGCAAATGCTGTAACAATGTTCGTTTTGAAAAATTGAAAAAAATTATCCATAATTCTGAAAAGTCAATTTATTTTATTTTCTCACTTTCTTTTCTAGTCATTATCATATGTAATACATATTTTAAAATATTTATATTCATGGTGTATACACATTTTAGTATTTTTCTTGTTCCCTTGACATAAAATCATGGAAAAATTTCCAAATTGCTATTCCAGCTTCATGATCATCATTTATAATGGCTGCATGGCATTCTACTGATGTTGTTTTTATTTTGTTTGACTTTTATAATTAACCCTATAATGAAGTTACCTTTTAGAGGAGGAAATAACAAGTTTCCACCTGGTATAAAATTTGAGTTTTCAGTCTGATTTCCTGTTCCTACTATGCTGCTTATATTTATGTAGAAACCTTACTGCATTTTCCATCCAGCTCCAAATTTAATATTCATAAGTAATAAATTGCTAAACTGATTATGATACTTGGTTGGCTATACTTACAATTCAGAAATTAGGATCTTAAATCCTAGTTTTTGTCTGAAGGATGATCATAGTTTTGTGTTTCATAAACATGGTGACTCCAAACATTGAACTAGTTTTTTTATAAATGTGTAAAATGAGTCTTTCTGGTTAAAGTAAATGTTTGTACCTGTGAGTCCTAACAGATTCCCTTGGATAATGAAACGATTCTTTCACTTATTCTAGGCAGAAAATTTTGGGCTCTTAATGGTTATGACATTCTGGAAGGTTATCCCCAAAAAATATCGGAACTGGGATTTCCCAAAGAGGTTAAAAAGATAAGTGCAGCTGTTCACTTTGAGGACACAGGGAAGACGCTCTTCTTCTCAGGAAACCAAGTCTGGAGGTATGGCAGCTGTATTTACCCACCATCTTGCGTCATAGAGGCAGAGTGAGCCTTGAACATCTCTTGCCACTTAAAATTGTTATCTCGTGTTATTTTAAATGTCCAACCAGTCATTCACTCCTGTTCCATGTCAGCTCCTGCAGCCCCTATGACAGGTATTTAAGCCTCTGAAAAGCCCTCTTGAAAATCAGATATAGTTGTCACCTCTCCTGGGCCACTTTTTTTCTTTCTTAGCCATTTGTGGTACTTCAGCTATGGCAAAACCATCGCTCTTATTTTGACATTTTCATTCTCTGTAATCTTTCTCCTGGATTCACTTTCTTGTCATCTTCTCCTAATTTACATGTAGCTCCATCTTCTGTGGCCAGAGAGGACGCAAGAACGGTACAGGAGAAGACTGAGCGAGAGAAGGCAACAATTTCTAGAGAGTCTGTTGAGCCATTGGAGAGGTTGACCAGAAAACTGTTAGGCTTATAGTTTGTAAAGCTGGCCCTTTTTGAAGAACACGTGGGGCTGGGCTATCTAAAACACGTGTAGAGTTTAAGGCAGCATTGACATTGGCCATATTTATGAGCCCAGATCCATGTCTGTATTTGGGGATGATTATCTCATAGGTGCTCAATACTTGACATTTTAAAAATGGTAGTTTTACTTTCTCTATACACATGCATGTATACACACACATACATTCCTTTATACACCATCTTTACCTTTTGATTTCTTTATTTCGTGTTCTAGTCCCTTTACCCTAAATGAGGTCTATGGTTCAGCCAAGACGGATGGCTTACCATGTCTCAAATGCATTGTACTTTTCTCTCCCGCAGATCTTTCCTTGTGTAATTTCCTTTCTGGAGGTCCTTCCCTATGTTTCTCCTTTCTGAAATTCTACCCATTGTTTAAAGTTAACTTGAAATACCGTCTCATCTACAGAGTCTTTCTTGATCACCCCATTCAAAGGTTATCTCCCATCTCATGTGACGCCCGTGACATCTCCTGTTCACTCTCTCTTGGTGCCTGGCTTCTGTTGCCTAGTGCTGCAGTTTTGTGTGTCTTGGGTTTCCTGACGGTTCAGTGGTTCTTGCCTTTTACCTGTCAGAACATACCTCAAGCGTACAAAGAACTCTCACTGGTAACAGTAGGAATAGGACATCACGGGAGGCTGTGCTCCCAGGTTAATTCCAGAATGTGTTTGGTTGGCTAGGGTGTGACTATG